CCAGGCCTGTCAGTAGGAACAAGTACAGGAAACATGATGTACAGGATGCTGTAGTGGAAGCAGATCAGCTGGTGAAGCATTCTCTGCAGGAGAGGCTGAAACAGTGTCAGTTTGTAGACAAGCCAAAGACACAAGGTTAGGCTGATTACATTTGATTCAGCAGAAAATTTATAAAATGATTTAATCAATAATTTTAACACTTTATTTATTTATTTACATTTTTAGAGAAATTTTAAAAATTTGGAGATGTGTTCTATGTTCTCTTCCCTAATGTTTAGATTTGCCATTTAGAATATCAGAATGACTAAATTATCTACGTGTATATAGTAAAAATTAACGAACAAAAGCTTGCCATATCTAAAAACTTCATGTGCATTTATTTTGAAAATTATTGTATCTTATCAGGAAAAGAGAACATGGAGAATAAACATCTGAAGAAAGAAATGAGAAAGAGAGAGCACTGTAAACAGCATGCAAGAAAGCATAGTTCTAGTTTGACTTCTGACTTGTCTGCTCCATATATGCACAGCAAAAATATGCCAGACATAAATTTTGGAGTTTCATTACTCGAAAAATCAAAAGCTGAAAAGTTTGCTATAGATATTGAGGTAATCAAATAAAACATACATGCAGTCGGTTTTTCGTCAGTCTTGTTAAAACTATTAGTTGAACATAGAGAAATCTATTAAAATATATTACTTATATTACTTATTCCATTTTTCCCAGTTTTAATTCATCAATCTATGTGAAGTTTGTATATACTTAGATCCACTGATAAAACACAAAAGACCAAACACTTGGACCTGAAAGAATATTAGCAAACAGTCTGTGCCAAAAACTTTTTAGACTACTAGCCCTTCGGGCTAGCAGACTCTCAAACTTCACTAGCCCAAACCAAAAAACACTAGCCCAATTTAAATAATTCATTTAAAAAGTTTAAGCAGATGTTGTAAAGAGTTGTGGTACCATACTGTACTTTCTTGTAAACCTTATTATAGAAGTAGAGCAAGTGAATAACAAAGTCAATCAGGATTATTTTCAGTTGATGGGGTGGTAAAATCGATTTAAAATATATTTAATTATTTAATATTGAAAAAATTCCCTTTTTTAATATGTAATACTGAATATAGTTACCTTTACTTTTCATATTTTTATAATACCTTTCTTTCCATTTTTATATACAATCAAAATCTTTTTTTTCTAATTCCTTTTCTTTTTATTGACAATAGCTCTTTTCTAACAATTTATTTCTAATTACATCGGTATATAATGCCACTTCTAATTTAAAATACATAGGTGCTGAAAGGGTAATTAAACAAACGTCTTGCAATTTTTTTGGTTACAATTCTTTTGGTTATACATTTGTAAAAACAACTTTTCAAGGACTTTTCAAGGACTTTACCAGGACAAAGTGTGGAGGGGTAGCCATGGCATAAACCTAACTATCCCACATTGTCAAGAATAGTTCATAGGGTATTTATGTCACATGTAACTGCCAGGGTCTTATTATTTTTAAAAGGCAATAAGCAAAGGAAAATGTATGAACTCGTGGATATTAAAATTATAAATAAAAAATATAAACAAAAAAGGAAATAGAATACTACACCCCTCAGTCTGCTAAGTGGTCCTAACCCAAATGTTCTATGAGGTAATGCATACATTACACTTGCTTCGGAGACAGTGTTGTTTTGACAAAACCTGTTGCTAGTACTAAGGAATTCCGGTCTGATCCAGTAACTTGATTGACAGCAATTTGTAGTCATGGCAACAAACTGGTCAAATAAAAAGATGCCGACACGCTGATCAGACAGACTGCTGCTATAAATAACTACAGTGAAGTTATTTATAGCAACTAATCAATATTCAGTAGTTTGAGCAAGGTTTGAGTTTTTTCAACTGAGAGGCATATCATACTATCTAGAAACGTCAAATTAGAGGCAGGGACAAAGAAGACTGGCGACTTATATTTTTGAAATCTTACCGTTTGGGCTAGTGCTTTATAAAATGTCAACTTTTTTACTAGCCCGGTGCCACTTTAGGTGGGCAATTGCCTCGGGCTAGTGCCTAACGTCGCAGACTGAGCAAATAACAAACTTAAGTTTCATATTTAATGATATACATAATTTTAATCCGCTTCACAATTCACAATCTGCTAAAATGTAATGTACAAATTTTCTTCAGATGTATAAGAGAAATGAGAGAGCATTTGAACATGACCTCACCCGCTTCAAGGAAAGGAACAGTTTGAGTACACTGCAGCTACCATTCTGGCAGAACACTCCTGTGAGTTTGTTCCAGCTCTTCCTGGCTGTCCATGACAGGGGAGGCTATGATAAGGTGACAGAATAGCTCTTCTTTAATTGTCCCTTTTTTTTTCATCTGTTGTAAAGATAAAACATTTTAGAATAATTTGTATTGTCTTGCCTTTGTTCTTATTTGTTATTACTTGCACTGACAGTTATTCTTTGGGTCAGCATTTATGCTTGCAAAATATTTTACAGCTTTGTTGATTTATAGAACAATGATTTTTAAGTTGAAAATATTTGACTTATAGCTACTTAATTGTGGTTAAATTGGTTTTTTTTTCATTGTAATCAATTATTTCCACTGACTAGGATAAGGATGTCACCACGTGTTGATTTTTGCAGGTTTGTGTAGACAGGGCCTGGTCCTCAATTTACAATGAGTTCACAGGAGCTAAGAAGCATGGCCAAACTGTGAAGAATTATTATGAAAGGTACTTGAACTTTTATTATTTGTATATTTTATGGCATATTGGTCATTTTCTTCTTGAATTGTGTGGAGGATCATGAAGCAATTTTAACAGGCATTGTTTACAAGTAAGGAATTACTCTTACACTGTAACAAATCCACAAAGTTTCATCACTTTTTTTCAGTATTTTGTGAGCTACTTTAATGACTGTCCAGCATTTTTTGCTTTATTTTTTATTGAAAAATCTTTGTTCTTCCCTCCCTCCCTGCCTTTACTGGTACTAAGGACTCTTATAACACTTTTCACTTCAATCTTCCAGGAATCTACTGCCTTATGAAATGTTTCTGGCTGGGAAAAGTTACTCTGCCCAAGTAAGAAAGCCAAAAGAAAAGGAGAAGAAACTGAGGCAAACAAGGAAACAGAATAAGAGCAAAATCTCAGAAGGTGCAGAGGCTTTATGACTAAAAAAAAAACTATGTGGTACTGGTGATGTATCCGCACAAAATTATCATATCTACAAGTACAGTGTACTACTAGTATTAGAATTTTGAAGTATTCATTGAATTTACATCTGTTTGTGTAAGGAAAGTACAATCTGTAAATGAATGTTTTTGATTATATTTTTGTATCTACTTGTGAGTTATGAAGTTCTTATATTAGAAATAGTATTTTATAACCAAGCCATATAGATAGACCATAGCCTCTGAACTTAGTGCAAGTATTACTAAAGCTTATTTATGCATTTAAAATTACTTTTAATAGGTCCCACCCTAGATGAAGACATGAATGATCTTGCTCAGATGCTGGAAGAAAGCAATCGCCTCAGCAAACTGTGCACTTTCGATGACAGCTTGAATGGTGAGTTTGTTTCGAGTGTGATAAGCCAACTGAGAGACATGTACGTATTTAGATATTATTTCTCAGTCTGACATATTGAGCGTTTAAACATTACTGTATAAGAATTGAGAAAGAGTAAGTTGTTTCATGATTTAATTTAAATACTCTAGCTTTTTATATAAGTATTTGGGGGACCAGGGGAGGTAGAAAGTTCAGCATTATTAATCATTTTGTTTTGTTGAAGAATCCACATCAGAGGATGATGAAGATGAAGGTGATATTGCCAAACTCTTGGCTGAATCTGAACAGCTGAGTAAACAGTGCTGCTTTGATAGGCTGTGTGGTAAGTAACAAATTTCAGACTTGATTTAATTTCTGCAAAATAAAAATTGAAAATGATAAGTAATATCTTTCTTTAAAGACTTCTGTTCAGTAATCATAATTTTGTCATCAATTTTTGGTGACTTAAACGTTATTCAATGAACTTCAGGGCATTTTAAAATCAATACAGTTTAGATTCACATATACATGTAACCAAGCTTCTGAATCTTTTTGTTTTTTTTTTATTTAGATCTTGAAGTAGAAGAGCATCAGCGTATGGAGTTAGATTTGACGTTTTATGATGAAACCCCTCCCAGAAAAAGTCTGTCTGTAAAACTTGCAGACCCTTCTGCAGAGTTTGGAGAAAACTTTTTATTGACAGCAACAGAGTCAGGCAAGTTCACATTTGAGTGTTTTGGATATTTGTTGTTTTGGGGTGATTAAATTTAAAACATTAATTGGTGATGATGTGTGTGTTTGTGTGTGTGTGTGTGTGTGTGTGTGAGTGAGAGAGAGAGAGAGAGAGAGAGGATCACAAAGGTGATGGATGCAGATCTAAAATTATCATTTTGATATATCTATTGTTTTTGTATCAATTTATATATCTGCCAGATTTGTTTAGTGTTGGATCCACATTGCCATTATGTTATGGTAGAAACATGGAAGCCTCGTAGTCCTGCATCGGCTATTTTTCTATCTACTTATAGATTCTTTTTAAAAACTTTCCTGATAAATTTCTATTACATGATTTAATTTTTATAATCTCTAGGTACAATACCCCAGCTACTTCCAGATGAAGACAATGAAGAGGATGTCCAGATGTGGCATGAACTACAGGCCCTCAGTCAGTCTACCAAATTTCTTCACAGAGCCATGGAAGAAAGTGAACATGTACAGTATTTGATAGATGATATATCTACATGAGAACATTTGTGTTTTCTTTTTCTTTATTTTTTTGCGTTATAACTCAGACTGGTCTCCATCAAGTTTCTATAGAGAGACTATAGATAATGGATGTTTACTGCATTTTATAGATGATATGTATTTCCATCTATATTTTGAAAAAAAAAAAAAAAAACAATATTTATTGGAAGGAGGTTGTTATAATGAAACAACAGTAAATATTATGCCATTTTCAATAATAGCTTTTATTTTATAACTTTATTAGTATTGCCATTGTAAAACTATGAAATACAAGACTTAGTCTAATCTTCAAACTGGAATGAAAAGTTGCCAAATGTTCAGAAAAATGCTCACATCAGAGAAAATGCAGAGTTATTCAAGACAGGTCTTCATCTTTAATCTTTTGATTTAATGTAAAAAAAGTCAGGGTAAGATACACAAATGAAATAATTTCTTATTCTTAATGCTCCCTAAAATATATCACATGTAAAGGATAACATAATCTTCAAAATCTTTTGCAATAGTATCTTGTATTGTATATTGGTCAAGTGTACAGTAAAATGCTACATGGTGTCCATCCAATATATTTCTATAATGATCAAACAGATATTCCATCCATACGTTTCAGTAACTTATCAAATAGTACATCATTCATATATACACAAGAATGCAATACAATAAAACATTTAGAAATATAGTCTTTTCATTGCCATTCATGACAGTTAAACAACTTCACAATGCACTAAATGTGACTAGATCTTGTTTTAACAGACTTGTCTTAAAAGACTACAAACTAAATTGTACACAGAACGACACATTGATCGAATTTGCTGTTGCAGCTTGAAAGATTTAACTGATTTATCACATCCAGCAAAGAATATCAAGCACAACCCAGATGGTGCAAATGATTTTGACTCCACTGCTGCTTCCAAGTGCTGGGCAGATTGCTTAAAGCAGTTTATGCCGAGCAGCATCCACAGAATGCAAAAATAGTCCTAGAGCTCTGCTCCATTAAGTGTTGGGCGACTGGCTTAATTACAGCCAAGAATGCCAGGCGGGATCCATCCTGCACAAGTTGTCGTGACTGTTTGCTGCAGCTACCAGTGTGCTTACTCTGCTCTCAGCTCCATCAAAAGTTGCCAGATCTGGAATCACAAACAGTAAGCCATGAATATCATTCATTTTTTAAGTTTCCACCAAAAATATACATAAAAGTCTAACCTAACAATGTATGATGTATTTTGTGACTATATTTTAAAAGGATAGTACAGGGATGAGACTGACATTTAGTGAAAGTCAGAAAATATGGTGTGGGTTCCAGGGAACAGCTTAGGTTAAGGCCTCTATTTTAGCTCCTAAAAAGTCAGAAATCTGCGGAAGGTCAAAAAAATCTCATCCCTGTTGATAATAAATGGATAAACACAATTCTTACTTTGTAATCTGGTTGTTATGGCACCCACTGCCTTGGCAACCTTGCCAACAAGAAGCTCCCCATCCATGTCAACAGGCTGAGCTCCTGGATTGGCCTCGTCTTGTTTCTGTATTAGCACAGTATGAAAATCATCAAAAATGAAAACAGTAAACTTGTTAAGTTCTTGATATGGATATTAACAACTGTGTACATGACATAGATAGGCTATAGCAAAAAATACCAATACTTTGTCACAAAAAGGATGAAATAAATGAAAAAACAAAACTTGATTTTCTTTTCATCTTTCAGTGCACAAAAAAGCCACATAAATCATTAACTTACTTACTATGCTAATAACAACAGTACAAAATGCAACTGTCAATTATCTAACGTACAATTTAATTATGAACTAATCTCCCTACCTTTTTATGCCAAGTAATGTACTCATCCCTGAGGACGGCTCTCAGGAGGCTGTGTATCTGATACTGAGGCTGCACAAAGCACCTTGCCGCAGCCACCATGGAGGCTGTAAGGGGCCCTGTGACCCCCGTCATGGACAGGAAGTCTGCTATGTTGGGGGTCAGGCGGAATGGCACTGGTCGGTTGGCATCCAAGTCACCTGATGAAAGAACATTAAGTGTGAGAATTGCTATTTGTAAGAATATTGGTAGGGGTAAATATGTACTCTAGTTGTATGGGGCCATGTGTCTCATAAAACATGACTTTTCTGTCATTTCTGCTTAGTTTTTACTTTTTTCATTTTTTTTATGTACAGACACAGATGTGTCTGTACATATAGCCATCATCTGCGTCTGTCGTCGTCGCCGTCGTCGTCGCCGTGCACTTTTACCGATAACACGATAAGTGGAAAACCATTTTACCTTTTGACTTGAAACTTGCAGAACTGATGAATATTCATAATACGCAGGTCAAGTTCGAAAATCAGCATGATCGGGTCACTTTTAGGGAATTTATGCTGTTTTTTCACTTTTTT